TTCACTAAGAGAATAGAATTTACACATTCTCAGCAGAAAAAAAAGGCAAACGTGAACTGATGGATGTGTTAAACTTGATGGGGGAATCTTTTCATAATGTACACATATATAAAATAATCATGTCATAAACTTCAAATATCTTAGAATGTTATTTGTCAGTTTTACCACAATAAAGCTGAAAAAGTTTTTTTAAAAAAATATAATGTACCAACTGGATTAAAGAGAGGATAATAGTTAATTTTCAGGGGGTTGTGAAGAGGATTAAATAGGAAATGTACTTTATGGAGTCCATTATTGTGACAGACATAGGTGTCACTCTACTTATATCTGCTTGGCCCTCAACATATTCGTGTTTATTGGCCCAGACTTCCAACTGCAAGCACCTATGAGTCTGCCTGGGGATTTCATTGACCACCAGAGCCTTCAGGAGAGGCTCTTGATACTAGGTAAAGAGGAGGTCTTGTCCACTGGATGATACTTAACCTCTGTGTCTAACGACTCCACTACTTATACACTGGGCCAATGAATGGAATATCTATTGTGGAAGGGATTAAGACTATGCATGGCCAACTGCATGGGCTACTTCTCACCAAGGCTGTTTGAGCTACTACTATTTTGAGGCAGGTGACTTGTCAGCAGCAGCAGAGACTGACACTGAGTCTTGTTATACAACCCTTCATTGAGGAGACAAGCCAGTCCCTGATGCATAAACAAAATTAAAATTGAAAGAGGAGAAATTACAATGGATACCTCAGAAATGCAAAAGATTATCAGAAAATACTATGAAAAACTATATGCCAACAAATTGGACAATCTAGAAGAAGTGGATAAATTCTTAGACTCATGCAACCTCCCAAAACTGAATCAAGAAAAAATAGAGCATCTGTATATACCAATCACAAGTAAGAGATTGAAATAGTAACCGAAAACCTCCCCCAAATAAAAGTCCAGGCCCAGATGGCTTCTCTGGAGAATTCTACCAAAAATTACAGAAGATGTAATATCTATCCTTCTCAAATTATTCCAAAAATTGCAGAAGACAGAACACTTCCTAACACATTGTATTAGGCCAAGATCACCCTGATCCCCAAAACAGACAAGGACAAAGCAAAGAAGTAAAATTACAAGCCAATATAGCTGATGAAAATAGATGCACAAATCCAACAATTTTGCCAACAAAATTTTGGCAAACTGAATATAGCAAAATATTAAAAGGATCACACACTAAGATCAAGTGGGATTTAAAACAGCAATGCAGGAATGGTTTAACATCTGTCAATCAATCAATGCAATACACCACATTAACAAAATGAGGACTAAAAATCACATGATCATCTCAATAGAACCAGAGAAAGCATTTGACAAGAGCAAACATCCACTTATGATAAAAACTCTCAATAAAATGGGTTTGAAGGAAAGTACCTCAACATAATTAAGGCCATATATGGCAAACTTACAGGAAACATCATACTTAACAGTGAAAAATGGAGAGATTATCCAACTGAGAACAGGAAAAAGAAAAGAATGTCCACTCTCACCACTCCTATTCAACACAGTACTGGAGGTTTGGGCCAGAGCAATTAGACAAGAAAAAGAAATAAAAAGAATCCAAATTGGAAAGGAAGAATTGAAACTCTCACTCTTTGCAGATGACATAATATATAT